GTAGTTTAAAAACAAGTCTAGGTGTTTCTTGACTGCTGTCACTTGTAATTGTTGTGGGTTCAGTGGCATTACTTCTGACTCTGGTTTAACAGAAACCAGCAACCATCCATTTATTTATTTATTTATTTCATTCGGGCAGCCTCCCCTGGGTCGTAGCACACATTCTGAATGCAGATGCAACCAGAGCTTGTTAGATTGTTTTAGAAGCATCTCCAATTCATTCCTTTTGTTCTCCATCCTGGCAGCAGCCATTTTTATCTTCTTCATTTTCATGCATTGAATGACTATGCAAAATGTGTAACTGGACATAACTTTTTATTCTTTTTCCCATCGCCCTTCCTACCTTAATGGCTGAGGTCAGTTTCTGATTTCTGTTCATTTTTGGTGGTTTTACTGTTGTATCCTGGAAGTGTCTGTACTGGTTTACTTTGCACCATTCAGAGTTGTTTGCTTGAAGCACTGTTAACATTTTGGAGAGTATTTGTCTGTGATGAGAAAGGTTGTGAATGACATTGTTGCTAATGTTTTAAATTAAAAAATATTCTCGCATCTTGTGTCTGTGTGGATTCTTGCTTCTGTCTTTCCTGTCTGAAGAGGAATACATTGAATATGTTTTAATGTTGACTCTTTTTTTACTCTTTGTGCTCATGTTTGGTGTTTTATTTAAAAAAAAACTGTATAGCGAACAAAGAGGTTTGTAACAGTCTTGATTTCTTGTGACTCATGGCACTTGTATGGATTGGAGGGGGTAGGGGGAAATCCCACAAAAAAAAAAACCAAGCCCTGAGTGGCTATAAAACTTGGCAAAGCTAGAAACAAGCGTTTAAGGTAAGATCTGGAGTTTTTTGCTTTTAACTTTTAAGCCGGCTGATATTCTTTGAACACAAGAGTTGGCAAGATGTGGAAGAGTGTTGTTATTTCACTCCAAAATTCCTGCTTTATCTTGGTCTGTGATTCCTGATACTCATTTAGAAATTTCACCTGCTGCTCAGTAAAGGAGAAACCTTTTTTTCCTGATGTTTAAGGGCTTTACATAGCAGTGTGACCATTGAGATTCTTTGGTAGATGCAAGAATTGGCCAAGAAGGAAGACTGCGAGATGGCAACCCTTTCATCTTTTTATAGGATCATGGGACCAGGAACTGGAGGAGAGGTGAGAGGTAAACCTATTGGAATACAGGTGACATAGAGGACATGTGAAATGTTGAATGATGAGAAGGGTAAAGATGGTTGAGCTCCTGGAGGCCAAATTTAATGACCTGTTTTGGTTTCTTTTCTATCACAGGTGACCTTTGTGACCATGTCAAGTCACGCTGTGCTGTGTTCACACCGCTAGTAGCAACTGGAAGATGTGTAAAAATGTGTCTCCTTGTGCAAGCTAACGGTCTCTGCTCAGACTTTGTGCAAGAATTTCCTGCACAGGATTTGTACCTGTTAACTTTTGCAGGCTGCTTGTGGAAAGAAGTATTAGATAACTGGCAAGTTTAACACCACCCCTGGTTTCTGCTCCCCCTCACTAAAGTGGGAAGTAACACCTCTCTGTCCTGCAGGTGTGCTACAAGCCTAAAAAGAATAAGAGAGGCACTGAAAACTGTCATGAAAGATGAATGCTATAAAAATACTGAAGACAGTGCATGACTGGTGTGGGGCAGGTGATTCTATTTTCAGACTTCTTCACCAGAAACTTTCCCAGTGATTTTTTTGAGCAGTTTTGTATGTAGGATTTAGTACTAATGCTTTTCTCCCAGCCACTGTCTTTGGCTCCCTTCCTGCTCTGTGTTTGCTACAGAACATGTAACTAATGGGCGTTACTGCTACTTGTTAGCACATGCAAGCAGCAAAAACTAAACCAACAAAATCTCCTGGCAAAACATGAGTGTCAAGAGCACCTGTACTTGCATCGTGAGGGTCAGTGTGGTTTTAGTGTTGGTTCCCTTTTTTATTTTTCTGGAAGGTTCTGCTTAAAGCCATTAACTTTAACTTTCCTGACGGAACTTTATTTCTACAGGCTAATCCTGGCTGGCTTTCATGGAGTTTTTGTTATTGTCTGTTTGCTTGTGGTTGGTTTGTTTTTCTGGAGCATCACACAGGTCCCTTGAGGGAGTCAGCCTTCAGATCCATGCCAGTGTTGTCCTGATTTGCCAACAGCCCCCTGCTGTAACTGTCACAGCCCCCTTTCTGGTTGTCATCTTTTCTGTCCACAGTGGTGTACAGGAGTTTTATGTCCTGCTCATGTTAGTATCCCATAGCAAAAATATAAAGATGATGTAATTTCTACTCTGTCAGTTTCATCACATGAAAGCCAAAACTGAAAAACAGCCAACTCCTGCTGTGATCTATGGGAAGTTGCTTGAGTAATAATTTCAATCATTGAAAGTTTGTGGGGTTTTGTACTTTTTTCTGTTTTGTTTCATATGAAGTGTATGTGCAAAATCCTTTGGGCCAGACCTCAACTAGTATAAATCCCAATTGTAAGTATAATTATCAACATGTGGCAATAAAAACAAATTAGAAAAACAACTCTACCTCAGAGTAATGATGAATTTTTGAAAAATGGTGATAAATAAAAGCATCCTCTGGACCCTTAATTTTTAAGCAGAGAAGCATGCTCATGTCATAAACAATGGGATAGAACACCTCATTACAAATAACTCTTTATTCCAATTGGAGAAGTAGATCCCTCCTTTCAGTTCAAGTATTTATAGTCAAGACTGTTTTCAAATTGAAAAGAGATTTTGAAATATTTGAAGCCACAGACAAAGTTTATTATTAAACCATATTTAAAAATTGCACAGTTATAAATACAGGTAAATAAATACAATTTAATATGTGGAAAAGAACCCAAGGAAGGCATGCCTCCATTATAGTACAAAAATACTACATTAAACGTGGCGCTCTGCAAATAGTCATCTATGACCTTAATAAATGTAACACATCCAATATGCGCATCGTTCCTTTTTGAGGAAATAATCTTATTTTAAACAGCAGTGCAAGAAAATGTCAAAGCATCAGTAAACTACAGGTCTGTGTTTAATATTATGCACACCTGATAATGCACTAAGTATATAGAGGCAAAGTTACCTGTAGTAAGAAACTAATCTTTTACTCCATATGTGCTTACACTCAGATTCTCAGTCTGGGTCAATATGAACCTTGGTAACAGAATGTAAACATTCAGGTGTAGGGCTGAACTCCCACCTCTGCATCCACTGCCCACTTCATTGCTAAGCCGTACACTTAACCATCCACACAAAAAGTTAAGTGAGCAATGTAAGTCTTTGCAGCAGCAGGGCTCTCAGATGGCCCAGGTGAAAGTATCTGCCAACCCTATAATCTCTTCTTTCCTGTATGTTGGCTTAAAAATAAAGCCAAAAAAACTGATGCAAGATCGCCAAGATTTTCGAACAGTTTACAGCATAAAGAAGAAGCTGCACAGAATGCCTCTCAAAACTAGTTTTCTTCTGCTCTAGATACATTATATCCAGATATATAAAATATACTTACAAATGCTTTTGATTTTTCTGAGTTTACAGTAGATTACTGATTTTAAAAAAGCTATTTAAATTAAAGTCTTATCAATGTCGATGACATTCTGTAAATGTGGAAGGGGAATAAAGATCAAAGCACATTAAGTCTTGACCATGCAAGCTTGCTCAATGGGCTGTCACTTGTGCAAGCATTCATAAAGTTAAGGTTTATTTTAGGAAAACTAGATTCCTTCAGTCTCTTTCACATGTCTAGTACCTTTTATTTTGTAGGCTGAGGCTCTGAACCTTTCTGTGGATTCTGCGACATGCTTGTTTTCATTTTGCCTAGGTTTGTTCAAAAGTGTCAGTGGTCTCTTCATGCATGGCATTTGTTTTCTCTCATTTCACCAGTCCAAAACCAGTAGAACTATAATGAAGGAATCTGTTTTCTAGCCTACATAAGGTTTGACTAGTAGGTAGTACTGTATTGCATACCACTTTTTTATTTTTCACAACATGCAGTGCATTTTGTCTATCACTTATCTGTGAATGCTCAGTATTTTATAAGCATTTATTACATAAATGCACTGTACAGACTGCTAGGATGACAATACTAGTGACCAGAAATGCATTTTTCAACTGTGCAGGTTATTCATGAGAAGTAACTAACACATCTCATTTTGCAGATGCAATTTGGGCAAAGGAGATGTAAAACCAATTTATGTTTCACTTCAGTTCTCACTGGCTCCAGCAGGCAGTGATGTAGGCTTCAGGCTTTGCCTCTGTGGCCACCAGTCATTTCATTGGTTATTATTTCTGTCGTGGTGGCTTTTGTGTTATGGAGGCCTGTGCTCTATGGATGTTCCTAGAATCACCTGGCTGATCTGCTGGTGTTGTAAGGGTCCTCCTTTTCACCTGGCAGACAGGTCCAAGTTCTCTAAATTGGCTCATTAGCTCTTCATGTGTAACTTCATGTCCTGAGCTTTCAGCTGAATTCAGTGGCTGCAGCAGATACTCAGATCCTCTGAAATTTTATGTGTATATACTTCAAAGAGAACAGTTAGACACTGAGCTGCCTTCAGAGCTAGTGGGCAACTTTGACAAGCCTGGCCATGGTAAGTAAGTGTGGACTGAGACAATAGTTGTTTCACTGATTCTGGGAATCTTTTTCTGTTGTTTGGAGAAGAAAATGTGAAAGTCTAAACACATGCTTCACAGTGAAAGCTGCACACATTTAGCTTTTTAATTCTTAAGAGGATACTAAAACGTGTCTGCCAAAGCTATTACTACATGTCTGTCATTATAAACACTTGAAGCAAACATGAAATGCACAACACAAAGTGATTTCTAAGGATGGGATTTAAAAAGGGCTCTGCATTTGGTCTAATCCGTTCCAAGTAACGTGAACAACTCAGTTTTGAGTATGGCAGATGCAAAGTACTTTTAAAATATCCCATAGAAGATACCAATCAATAGTTTAAAATATCCTATGAGTTGGCCTTCTGCATGCATTCTGTAAACATGTATTCAAGTATTATTATTGCATGCTTCATGTTAATATTTCAGTGTGGTTATTATGTAATTGCATGCAATATTCTCATATGAAGTTTTGTCATTGGAACCTCCCCCTCTATTTTTACAAGTGCTGTGTTTCATCACAAGAAAATACTATTTGATACAGATATGTGTATGTGTTTACCTGAAGATCAGATCAATTCTTGAAACTGACATAAACCACTATATTGCAGCAATAGACATTGTAGTTTAGAAGACAGGCAAGAAATGAGCCTATTACTTTAATTGGAAAGGCGCATTCCTAAATAATCTCTTTGATTTCAGTACCTGTTTATCATGTGCAGTGGTATCAGAGGCCAGCCCTTGTCCGGTCACTGAATATGGGCACATGAACTGATCATGCCAAGTGTGAAGGACTCCTGTGAAGACTACAGACTCACTGTTCAGCAGCTTGATGGATCAGACTTACAGGTCATAAATACTCTTAAAGCTTTGCAGAGGAGAGGGCCATTCACAAGCTGGGGTTGGGAAAACAATATGTGTGAAATATAAAATAGAAGACTCAAGAACACTTGTAATCAATTACCTGGCAGTGATAAATCACCTCTAGAGAAAGAGGGGAGTAACAGGAAAGGGAAACAGGGGTTCGAGATGATGATAAACCATTGTAACGTTAATTTGGCATCATAGCATAGATGCTGTGCAGTTATCTTGAAATGTCTCCGAGTCTCTTCTTTGCTCAAATTGCTAGTCTCTTGTGTAAACTTAGTTTGTTTTCTTATGTAGATCTGAGCAACGTTGTGTTCATATGCTACCTTTCAATTTACATGAGTGGTGACCTGACCCATGTGGTCTGTGGGACAGCGGCACTCCACTGCTCTTTGGTAGTGCCATCACAGGCAGTGGCTGTTAATTGCCTGTCTTCCTTCATTGCACACCTGAGCAAGTCAGAGATGGCAGGAGGTTTTGACTTGGTTTAGCTCACAGGCAGGACTGAGAACAAGGCCTAGATTTACCATGTCACTCTCAGGTTCAATCTGCTACTATTCAGCAGCTGCCTTGTTTATCCTGTCTCATGCTTGATTAGAAGTTTGAGTAGATGAATTTCCTCTTCAGGTTAAAATGCTGCAGCCTCCTCACATGATTTCTCTTGTTGTTTCAGCCAAATATACGTGCTTGCTGCTGAATATTTGAGAAACCCTGTGAGGAAGTCAGATCAAAGCTGCATCTAATCATGTCTTCTGCACTGACTGTGCTTGGCAGTGGAGGCTAAAGGAGGGCAATAAAGCTCAGGGTATTGAAGAAGTCTCCAGAAGTACCAAGAGCTGCTGAGCCTGAGCTGTTAGGGTGAGGTGAGCTCAGTCACTGGCCACTCGCCAACACAGACCAGGCCAGAACTGGTGTCTAGTGTAAGGGGGTGTGCCACTGTCCTCTATCTGCTTTAGTCTTTCCCTCGTGCAGTGTCTCGGTCAGTGGTACAGGGTTAATTGGAGCAAATATGCTAACCTCCAAGAGCGTGCACAATCTCTTTGGATAGGCTTTGTAGCCTGTGTCCACTACAGCAGGATTGCAGTGCTTGTGATGAACTGGGGGCCTGAGTATCCCCATGGGAGGCAGAGTTCAGCCCTTTGATTTGTCTCTAGGTTTACACAGACAACTTTTCTCACACCAGTCACGTGGGTGTGGACACGTATCAGCAGATGGATACAGTTTTGAGCAGTGCATTCCAGGATATATCAAAAATTGCCTACTTGGTCTGTTCCTTTTTGGGGACATTAGGATTTGCATTAGGTTTTCCTAACAGAATTGCTGTGTTACGTACATCATAGAGAAGACGTTTAGTGAACTGATAATCAGTATCAAATGCCCTTTGTCATTCTGACTGAGAAGTCAAGCAGTTAAGTTTTGTTTTATTTGAAAGGTATAAAAATAAAGCTCTTGAGCAGCCAGTTCCTTTGGATAAGTACTGATTATCCTACACCACAGCACAAAGGATGTTCTGGAAGAATTTGTGTGATGGCAGGGCATCAAGCAAAATGTAAGCATATTGCTTTTGCCTTACTGCCTCTTCCCAAAGATGCCTCCCTTCTTTCTTATCACTTTCCAGATTCAGTTGCATTACACCTTCTGCTCTGCCTTATCACACATCACTATCAAAGCAAAGGCGCAAACTGTTATCAGAAGATATGCATACAGCAGCCCATTTAGCTAAAACAACACCCCCAGTCAGTCCTTGATAACAAATCCGTAGAGAAAGTTGCAGGAATCAGTTATGAAACTCTTGATAGGTAAATAGGAATACATGTGTAAAGAACGAATTAATAAAGCACTACTAAAAAATTCCAGTAGCAGTTTCAGCATCTGTATTCTGTGGGAGAGAGTGTGAGGTAAGCCTTTTATTTTTTAATGAAAATTGATTATTTTTATTTAACAAGCTATAGTTGGTGATTAGATGCAGTGATTACACTGTCTTACCTGGAATTTTCCTTTAAGTGGTTGCTCAAAATAACAGACAGCTGCAAGAAACATTAGGTTTGTACTGTTGAAACTGTCCTGATTCCCACAGAGCTTCTTTCTCTGTGATCTTTTTTCTTCTAATGTTGTTTGTAGGAAATGTGCTATTTGTCCCACTTTAACACATTTCAGTACCTACTCTGCACATTGAATTTCTGACCACAGAGCAACATAGTAGCCATTTGATTAGGCTTTTTATCTTTCACTGTATAGGAAAAAAACTGAAAATTATTACCTTAAAAATTTCTATTCCTGTCTTTGATTGACACATTCACCTTGAGCTAAATGTGTTTGATTGTAGCTGAATTAATCCCTTCATCATGTAATGCCCCAATACTGTTCCCTATTCATCCAGTCGGGGAAAATTAAGATGATGTGTGTGTATATATATATATATATATGTATATATATATATGTACACACACACATTTTTAGGCAGCTACGAATACTGATGTTATCGAAGGATTTAGTCTGCTATCATGGAGACCACTGAGTCCTTTGCTACTACTTGCTATAATAGCAGGATCAAATCTTAGTCTCAGTCCTACAAGCATACAGACCAACTTTTTCAGGGAAAATTTTCCCTTGAGCATGGTCTGCAGTCCTATGAAGATTCTTCTTTATTTACAATAAAGATCTGTGGCTTAATATGTTCTGAAATGTCATCGTTCACCTACAACATGTATGTGCATGCACATGCATGTATGTGTGCAGTACCTGATGATAATAGAATGATCTTTCTAATGGATATTGCAGTTTATACTGTATTTGCATTTTTTAAACAGAAGAATATTGAAAACCTTCTCATCACATTTCAGGAAATTATATTTGGTCCTCTATGCCAACAAGGCTATCCTGTACATTCTGTTGTTAGTAACTAAAAGCGTAGCACTATCTTACAAAAAGAAAAATTAAAGTGCATAAGTACATAGTTGCAGATCCTGCTATGAACCCCTTTGAAGCAGACGTGCTCTGTGCAAGATCAGGGATAGCTGGTTTGAATAGCAACAATTCTAGTGCAAATTACTGCTTCTGCTGGCAGCACTTGGCCTTCCCATATGTACATGGCCTAATCCCATACACTTCCATGTATGATGTTTCTCTTAATGTTGCACATGGTTTGCAACTCTATGAGCCTGCAGGATTGGGCCCAAATTAATCGAAGTTACATTTGGAAGCAAAAATTTTCTTGATTGCCAGCTAATAAATATATTCAACCAAAATACATCAATTTTACATGCATCTGTTCTCAGAGCTATGTTAAAAATGGACCTTGAGAGGACTTTTCAACAAAGAAGCCAAAGGATAGGGAATCCACGTTGTAGGGCAAAGTGATGTCAGCATAGTGCGATGAGCTAGTAAGCAGGTTCCTTGGATGCATTGCTTCCATTCTGCTGTGCAACAATGATTATCTAGCTTTGTTTTTAATATATTTTTCTTTGTATAGCTGTGTATATATTGAGAGAGAGATCTTGCATGGGATGAAGTTCCTTTAGAAATGGCTACTTCATATAATTCAGGGCTTTGTCAGATTAGCCACAGCTCATTTCAATCCTTTGAGTTTGAATTTATGTACAATATTTTGTGCTTTTGAACTTTTCCTTTTTAAGTAATGTCCAAGGGAACTTCCTTATTGATCCACAGCCATGATTTTTTGAAAAATGTGGTCTTGTTGAGATGAGATATAAAAGAGTTCTCTGTTTCCTAATACAATATAATCGATTTGTGGATACTTTTTATTATGGCTCTAGATTAAAAGCTCTTAACAGAATATCTAGATCACCCACATTGGCAGCTTGAAATAGTTCTGGTTGGTCCATCATAGATAGAGCAATTCGAAGTGCTGCCCAAATATTGCCTGATAGAGCAGGATGGGGAACCTGTTGTTGATTTCTGCTCTTTCTTTGTAAACAGAGAGCAGTGAGAAAATTGCTGACAGCCTCTCTGTAGGGAAGAAGACAAAAGAAAGAAGCAATGTAATTTGTTTAACAGCTAGAGTAAAACCTTAGAAAGTTCCATGCTGGACTTCAAGTACATTATTTTACAATGTAGTTCATCAGCCTCTTTGTGTTACTCTTTCTTGGAGTTTCTTTAAACAAATGGATGTGGTGGCTAGTAATACAGAGCCCACTCTATTCATACATCTAGGGATATTGTCTTCACTGCTGTGTAGCTCCCCTTCATCATGTCATCCAGTTTATGCTGACAGTTGGATTAAGCACCCTGGAATCATGCTTGATTCCTGAAGACTGTACTGAAAGTGTTTTTGACGGGATTAACTACCTGAAGCAGTTTAACTGAAGTTTTCTTTGGACAGGCTCTTACATTTTCTTTTAGAAAAGCTTTTAAGCACAGGACTACATTTAAGTGTGGGAACAATCCCATTGTTTATAAAAGGAGTACTTGGATTTAGAGCTAAACAAAATATTTAAGCAGCTTGCTGAATAAGGGATTTATTTTCTTTTAATAGAATCTAGTAGTTCTGTTAAGTAGAGTTTGTGGCTATAAGAAAAGTATTATTGATTTGTTAGTACTTTTTAAAAAATAATTACTAATTTTTGCAACAGCTGAGATTACAGAGCTATAATCTGATATTTCTTTTTTAATTAGATAGCTCCAGCTAGAAAATGAATTTTCACATTGTAGTTAAGATGCCTCACTTTTCTGTTTGCACGTTTTTGTAACTTACCTGTATGCCCCTAGGTTGATGCAGCTTATCCCTAAATTGTATCTGGACCTAATGAAGCCAGGTTGAATTTCTAAAGCACGTGTGTAGGCTTCGACAGCTTCTTCACTTCGATCCCCATTTGCCAAGGTTGCTCCAAGACGGTTCCATAATGTATAGTCCTGATGAGAAAATGAGTTTTCTATTGTAGGTGTCAAAAAGGCACATAATAGCTCTTTTTTGCTTCTAAGGTGAGGAGGACTGCAGAAAATAACAGTATCATGTTTCCTCGTAATTGACACAGAATGTGAGGTTCTGACTCCTCATTATAGGCAACTTTATATAACTAGTACAATCAATCAGAACACAGCTAGAAATTGGACATATATAAATCTGCTTCTAAATGGGACTATCTTGTAATTAACATTTCTATTTCAGATATTAAAATTTTAATGGCTGAAGTGATATCTCATTAATATTACCTGGATCAAGAGTGGAGAAAGAAAATGGCCTGTAAAAGCTGAATTCTTACAAATGTAAAAGCATAAAATGTACCTCTGGTCGAACAGTTAAAGCAGCACTAAATGCATCTATTGCTCTGTTAAATTCTCCATTCAGGTGGAAAAGAACTCCAAGTCCTGTCTGCAAGTCAGGGTCTATCATATCGCCATTCTGGTGAGCAGCCTCCAGATACAAATCCTTTACTTCTTCAAGTAATGAGCTAGATAAGGGTGAAAAATAACAGTATTCAATTTTGCAATTCTTTACAAATATTGCAGTGTTGATTGCATAGCCAAATAAATTTATAAATAAATTTATAAATCCTTATAGTGGGATTTATCAGAAGAGATATAACTTGAAAATAAGCTTCAGCACAGCACAGATTAACTTCCAGGTGCAGGAATAAAAAAGTTCACCTATATAATGAAGTCGTAGTGCAGCTGTGAACCCAAGTGAGATAACATGAAGGCTTATTAAAGTGTTAAAATTAGACGAGTTTCTCAGATGTAATAGAGTTCTTTACTGGCAAAAATAGTAGTCATTATAAAGAGGAATAGATCAAGTGACCAGACAAGACCCCAGAAGAAAGATGCCAAAATTTAAGTAAGTCCTCTGTACCCACTGTGGGATTCACAAAACCTTTGCATTGACACCACCAGATGTCAGTGGGATTAAGCCAAAGTAGAATAGCACACATCAATTAAGCAGAACTTTATGTTTTATTTTTGCTTATACTAAATTATCTTGCCAGCCCAGGGCTTGTTAGGATAAGGGCCTGTCTTCAAAATGACAAGCAGTGAGATAGCCCTGGTGATTTAGTTCTATAAATTATGTTTATGCCTGTAATGACTGTATCATGCATCTCGCAATGCAGCAGTACTTATTTATCAATCTCATGAAATCATGATGAAGGGCTGCCAACTCATGATTTTGTTTGTTATTTAAAATGGCTGCCAGCTCCCATTACAGTGTGCTAGGCTGAAGTCAAATAAAATGACTACACTATCTCTTTGGTTAGATCCAGAATAGCTTTTAAACAGGCAGATGCTACCTCTCAGTGTTTTCAGTGAAATGAAGTCACATCCCACTGAAAAATGGCTGTCATTCCTGGATTCTAGTGGCATGATAGGGGTATAGGAAATATGTTTAACAGTAGGGAGAACACACACACGTAGAGCAGGTTACAGGCCTGGTATGGATTTGGAAACAGCTGAAGAATGAAGATGCAGGATTTGGGAATACAGAGGTAGCAGACAAGGTCAGGAGAAAGTGATGTGAACTGAGTTTTTAGCTTCTTTATTAATGTTTTGGTGGTTGTTTTTGTTGCTTGTTTGTTTGTTTAACTTCCACCAATGGTGTAAGATACATCCTTCAGTTGCTAAACCGATTCTCTTATCTTGGTTCCCTACTTCTGCCAGTAGAGATACTGAGTCTTCCATCGTAGGGAACAGGCTGAATGTCTGCAGAGTAAGGGGAAACGGCATCCACCATCATTTCTAGTAATGTTAAAATTTCCACCACTGAGATTTACACTGCGTTTACCTTTCGTCTGATGCCTTAGACATTCTCCTGGTAAGTGCTGGGGACCCTTTTTTGCTTTTAGCTATATGCTTGTATTTTGGATTTTGCTTTATCCAGTTTCTTAGAGCTTGATAGGCTTCTTGTTGATGGCCAGTGTTAGTATAACTTACAGCCAGGGCCATCAGAGCTTTTAGGTTGTTCGGCTGTAGTTCCAAGCACCTAAAAGGCAGAAAATAAAAATACATTGAGGTATTTCTTTTAGCCAAACACAATTCTTGATTTCTTTCAAAATAATCTGTGTCAAAAAAAAAAAAAGAAAAAAAAATCAGACAAGTATATGTATATATTTAAAGAATGGACTTTGTCTTATTTTTCTGTGGTAAGTGCATTATGTGTAGGTATATACACACATGTATGCATGCACATTGCTGTGCGTATACACTTAAGTATATCAAAGTATGCATACGAGTTTTGTTTCCATCCTTCTGGTTATGAGTAAATGTAGGTAGATTAATTTTTATAATACCTGTCTAGTAAATAGAGAAGCTTTATGTAAATTCAATTAAAATAGTTTGCAGCTATATAAAAAAAGTATTTTGAAGACAAAATTTCTTCCATCCGTATGAATCTTTTCAGTCATGCTGAATTCCCAGTTTTTCTGGTCTTTCTATGGTTATATACCATCTATTTTGTGAACACTGCTCTTGCTTCTTTCAGAATGGTGGGGATGAGCAAGCCTGGAATCAGGCAACCCCTTGGATTTTTACCCAGGCAAGCTAATAAGTTACATATTAATAAGTTAGAGTATCCTTAGGTGAAATGGCTTGATGGTTAGTGTTGCTAATACAATTGAATATGCAGAGGGAACCCACTATGGAAGGACAATAATAATGCTGATATTTTGGAAATGACATTTTACATACAAGCATACGGTGATCTTTGCATCTCTATCAGCCTAAAAATGTTGTCGGTTTAGTATTCGGCAGCTGAAGTGAGCTCGTTCCAATTAAAAAGCCTTCTTCATTAAAGGACAGACTACACAAAACATTCCAAGTGGCTAGAATATAAAAAGGGTACTTCATTTGCATTAGGCCTAATTCATGTTTATCATGTCATGTAACTTTTCTTTTTGTGCAACTACTTAAATTACTAAATTAAATATTGCACTTATTTAATAAACAAGCAATATTAATCACTAGTCATCCATCTGAAGTCACTGGGAATATTTGTATATCTATGTCAGTGCTTTACTTGGTTAAATAAATACTTCATATTACAAGATAGGTATCATGTTAAATATATGTAGGTCTGCGTTACCTAATACTCATCAGACCCCTTATTTAGCAATTATCTTCATCTACCTTTGGAGGGCGACAATGGCTGCCGGCTCATTTTCATTCTCTGCTTGTGTTATACCCAGGAACTGCCACGCCTGCAAAAATAGTCATCATAGTGATATTTTGTTATATATACCCAACTGCAAGCAGAGTTACAACTAATATCATTGTTAAGCAGCAGGGTGAATAAAAATAGCAGATCTGTCCAGCACTAGCTATGGATGTTTCCACAGTGTGCATACCAACATAAATCAGTGCAGTTTTGAATATCTTTGGGACTGATAATATTTGTAATGAATGAGTGCAAAGGTATTCTGTCAGTGATCACGTGATGATTTCTTAAATTTGAATTACTGTACTTTTTACATATTGCTAGAATTTTATGGGAAACGGGGAAGAACAATTATGAAGTTGTATGCATTTAAGGGATTCAAGAATGTCTGGGGATTCTCTCTGCTTTTCAAAATACTGCTGGTTAATTCAATGACGTAATAGATTCAAAGAGACCTAGATACACTGTAAATATTTTTCATGTTTCACAGAAAACAGACTTTACATATATATATTTTTTGAAAACATCAATATTTCAGAAATTAATATAACTTTTAAAGATTTCTCAACATTCTTGCTAAATCAAAAATGTTCATCTTTCAGTAGCAGTGTTTAAGAGAGAGTTTGAAAACATCAGGAAAAGAAGGAAAGGTTTGAAATATTGTATCTTTTGAATGCTTTTAGATGACAACTTGGAAATGATATCATTTCAAAAATAGATTCTCATCTTTTGAAGAGCTCACCTTTCAAGGCATATACTATTTCAAAACCACTGTTAGCATTCAGCCTGTTTCAGTCAGTCATGACCCGCAAAGGTTTGGGCCCTGAAATCTCTCCAACATTGCACGCTAAAGGGGGTCCCCTTTTCCTTTATCAATGAAAGGCACATGGGTGAATACCTCTGCATCATTGGGTTCTTGTAGAATAGCAGCTTCCAGGTATAAGATTGTAACTGGCAGGTCACCTTCTTTCATTTTTTTCAGTCCTTCCTCAAAAGCACCAGGCCAGTCTTTAAAGGGATTCTCAGTATGGAAAAAATAACCCTGGAGAAGAGAGAGAATGGACCCATGATGAAGCACAGTAGCAAGGAATGGCATCTCTGTAAAATTAAATGACTCACAATTTCCCAACTGAATGTAAATATGCTTTGTTCTATGAAAATAGTACGACTCCCCCTCCCTGAAATGTCACTGAAAAAAACTGTAAAAGCCTAGCATCACTGGACATTTATGTTTCTGCTCTCTTTATTTTTACTTTAGCTCTGTAGTAATACTTACTGGTACTCATGTTGGGCTCTCCTGCGCCATCAAAGATAATGGCAACAACTCACACTGTCTGCAATAACAGCAGAACTGAACCTAGCATGAGCCTGATCCAGTTTGGTGGTGAAAAGCGTGAACCAAGCAGTGGACTCCCTGCAGTGCTTGTAACCTGATTCTGTTCAGTTAATAGTCTGAAATCTCCAATTAACCTTCAAGGTACGGAAGAGTGTTGCAAATACCTGAGTTTATTTTAGTATTTTAAATTTTGCCTTGCTGCTGCAGTGTAAGTGGTGTGTGCTAATATCAGCTACACAGTAAAAATCAAATTACTGATCAAGTTACCCACCCTGTTCAATATCTTTGTCACTGACATGGACAGTGGGATTGAGTGTGCCTTCAGCAAGTTAGCCAATGACACCAAGCTGTATGGCTCGGTTGATACGCTGGAGGGAAGGGATGTGATCCAGAGGGACCTGGACATGCTTGAGAGGTGGGTCAGTGCCAACCTCATAAAGTTCAACCAAGCCAAGTGCAAGGTCCTACACCTGGGTTGGAGCAATCCCAGGCACAGCTACAGGTTGGGCAGAGAAGAGATTCAGAGCAGCCCTGCGGAGAAGGACTTGGGGGTGTTGGTTGATGAGAAGATGAACATGAGCAGGCAGTGTGTGCTTGCAGCCCAGAAAGCCAACCGTATCCTGGGCTGCATCAAAAGGAGCGTGACCAGGAGGTCAAAGGAGATTATCCTGCCCCTCTACTCTGCTCTTGTGAGACCTCACCTGGAGTATTGTGTGCAGTTCTGGTGTCCTCAACATAAAAAGGACATGGAGCTGTTGGAACAAGTCCAGAGAAGGGCCATGAGGATGATCAAGGAGCACCTCGTATATGAAGATAGGCTGAGAAAGTTGGGGCTGTTCAGCCTGGAGAAGAGAAGGCTGTGTGGAGACCTCATAGCAGCCGTCCAGTATCTGAAGGGGGCCTATAGGGATGTTGGGGATGAACTCTTCATTAGGGACTGTAGTGATAGGACAAGGGGTAACGGGTTAAAACTTAAACAGGGGAAGTTTAAATTGGATATAAGGAGGAAATTCTTTACTATAAGGGTGGTGAGGCACTGGAATAAGTTGCCCAGAGAAGTTGTGAATGCTCCATCCCTGGTGGTGTTCAAGGCCAGGTTGGACAGAGCCTTGAGTGGCATGGTTTAGTGTGAAGTGTCCCTGTTCATGGTGGGAGGGCTGGAACTAGATGATCTTAAGGTCCTTTCCCACCCAAACCATTCTATGATTCTAAATTAAAACATGTGATGGAGGGAATGGAGAGACAGAATTTCATCATTTCTATACTCAACAGTGTTTGAATGTGCCAACTGAGATTTTTTTATTTGGTGCTTTTCCTTAAGTGCCCATCTTCAAAAGTGCCCATAATCTAGCAGTTTGCTTTGTGAACCTTCTAGCTGAATTGTGGCAGCATGCAAGTCTAAATGTGTTCTCACTATGATAAGGTTTTTTAATCTACCCCACTCCCAGACAGTCAAGGAGAATGATCTCTTCTGGGCAAAATTAGCTTCTGTGTCCAAAGAGTTTTCTTGGGTTGCCTTGAATAGCTGAGACTCATCTCAAAGTTTCACAGGAAGGATATTAAAAACCTTTGTGTTACCTTCTCAATGGTTGAGATGGTGACTTGTCCTGGTGCTTCCTGGTTCTCTGAAATCCAGTTTCTGCGAGCCATTTCTTCCCATTCTGCTTGCATTTTATCCCAAAACTCTGTGTCTGACTAGAAGAAAAAGAGGGAAGAAATGAACAACAAAACTTTAAAATGAAATGGTAAGCTTTCAATATCTTTCTACCAGTGGTCAGAGTCTGGCAATTCTGCTGAGCAATATTAATTCCATTACTAATCATACTGACTGAAGCTTGTATTTGGAATTACATAATTAATTTTCCTCTTTTGCATTGGAATGCATTTCATCAAGAGAAACTCTTTATTTCAGAGACAGTGTATGCGCTGTTTGAAGCAGGATTTGCAGCAGTTTACACTGCACCTTACTGATGCTAACAGCAAGTTATTACATAAAATGTAAAGGAAATGAATGCTACTTGTCCCTGGCCAAAAAAAAACCAAACTAAAAAACTAATAATTTATTTAAGTTAAAGAATAATAATAGATAAAACCATTTAAAAGAGAACAAGCATCCCATTTTGGTACATTAAGCACCATCTTCAATTATGTAAAAGGGTAATATTAAAGCTGAGACAGGGTGTTTGCACAAAAGAATTAATGCAAATAGGACTTTCTGACATGGAGAAATCTTAATACTACCTCATATACTGTGCTGGTGAGAGGAGTCTATAAGACGACCTAAAGTTTACAGTAAAATTAACATTCCCCTCAAAGATGAGGGAAAATGCATATACAAGAGAAATAGAAATAATGGAATGAGATTTAGGAATGAGGGAACTACAACGGCTCCTAGAAAATGATGCCAAGAAACAGAACTAGGATTAAAAAAAAAAAAATGGGGAGAATCCAAGTTAAGGTGCTGTCTTTTTAGCCTCCACACATGAGTCAGAATCCCTGAAAAGCAGCTCCATAGCAGAATGCATGTTCAGCACTATGAACCTTTGCAATGTTCTCCAGTTCCTAGAAGGTCATGGCCAGAACTTCAGTGAACTGACACTATGCAGGGCACAGTTTCTCAATTTATTTATGTCAGAGACAACAGTACAAATAATTCTATTGAGGTTCAGACAGAACTATTTGAGAGTGAGCTGCTAATCAAAATGAATTGAAGGTAGTATAAATTGGTTCAGATAATTTTGTCTGCATCTTCATTACAAAACTGACCACTTTGCTACTGCTCCATAGCCAGTCAAGATTCGCAAAAACCAAAGCTTAGTCTGTGATTGCATTGCTTGTTACAACTCTCCTTAGGTACTTGGGAAAAGGAAAGTACACACTCTTACTGCCAAAATGTCATTATGTGCCTCCTGATGTCCAGCACTTTGCTCCAGGAGACTTAGAAATGTCTGAATTAGGCAGTTACTGGATCTGTGAAGGTACCTGCTATGTTCTTCTGTGGATTAGGAAAAAAATGTGAATCATTCACTCCCGCAGAGGAGATTTCACTCTTTGTCACTGGAGTGAACAGAACTTGACAAATCTGTTAAATGACAATTTCCAAGGTTTCAAAATTTGCTTTTATTCCAAATTTGAAGGAAATGGTGTCTTATAAATAGTTGAGAAATTGTGAGGAAAAGTTCATTTAGGGTTTGAAAAGGACAGGATAATGAATCAGATCACTCCTTCTTTTACTCATATCAGCCATGACCAGAAGCACTTGAATCCATTAAACTACCTTGTTCAACAGATGTCTCTATCAACTGTTTTGCATTCAGTGCAAATCTGCACTGCCCTGAATAAAAAATTACTTGACCGTGGTTTTGCTGGCAGTAATTTTGAGATTCAGGAGGAGGTAAAGGACTGGAAATTTCCCTTTCCTACAGATTAATATTAGTAACACTATTGAAAAATAATTAGTAATGCCTTCTTAGTCTTACAGGATTAGTGATATTTCTATGAGTATATATAATGTTTATATTAGACATTTTGCTTGTATTTTTCCCCACAATAATCCCTTATGAATCAGTGGTTTGTTTCACATAGGTACAGGATGGACCTAAATCCCCCTGCTTGCATTTTTAAGAAATTCAAAAGTACCAGTTTTGGGTAAAACACAGCTAATTATTAGCAAGATTAGATTAAAACATATCTGATACAGCACCAGCATTTGGAAAACACATTTCTGCATATTGTAAGCAAGCATGTAAGTGGTTTCAAGTCTTAAATTCAAATTTAGCTGCTTAATTACACTTTTAGAATTCACAGAGATGTTCACTATGTGCATACTCCACTTAAAAAGCTAATGAATTACTATGCATTCAAGTAGCCATGCTTAATGTCTATCTATAGTGAGCGAAAGGTGGAGAGAAAATATAATGGGGAGAAGACATGATTTGCTAGAATGTGTCTCAGTGCATCACATGCCACTTGGACACAGACCAGGACCCAGCTGCTAATTTGCAAATATAAGCAAAGATTTGCTTGTTTGGGCCAAATGGGCTTATGTCCCAGCTACAGTTTTCTAAGTACACCGAGAATGTGGGGTTTCCAAAACTGGTATGGCAGAGCTGCACTGAGCAACTGGATCATGCCCAATTATGGCACCTGGTAAAATGCTATAATATTGCTGTGACAAATAGTAGTGTCAATAGCAGAGCTGTTTAAGGTCCTTGAGGAAGAGGACTGTAAATATTACACAGACTTTATTTAAAGGGCTATGTCTGTTTCAGCTGTCCTTAGTAGCAATTTTTTCAATGACTTCAGTGGCAGGAGGGTTAAATGAACGAGTGTTTCAGAAAATCTGGCTTTGGATCAAGACTTCTAGATCTAATTTTAATTCTATTTGCTATGTGGCTGGTGCCAGTTACCTCATTTCAATGTTTCTGCTACCTTAATGCTGGCAAATTACTTTGGACATACTGAAAGTTTTCAGACCAGTTGAACACATTTAACACGTTCTCAGGTCATCTGCAGCAAAGTGGAATGACAGCCAGGAAAAATGTTCATACCATCTCACTGCTTCCAAGCAGAAAATTCTGCATTTTGTCAAAGATGCTGTTTTTATTGTTAGTATTTAAGAACATGCTGAAGCAGTTAAACAATGTGAAGCAAAATATTTCCAGGCTTTTTGCTTCCTATGATACAAAGAAAGGTGGTGGTGTGGGGTGGTGTACTTTCTGAATATTGCTGGCTGATTTCTAAATGTACCTATTTTTATAACATTTACAGTAAATTATAGAATGTATATCAAGGCAAAGGTTCCCATTGTGATTTGAGACTACCAAGTAAATACATCTGAATGCTTAAGCTCCTATGTCCCAGTTTAAAATGTGCTTTAGGCAATCTTAGGCACATCCATGTTGAAATAGTGACACAGGAATACCATAGATAAAGAAAGTATTCTAATTGGTATTCATGGGAACCACAAAGCTGATGATTCTGGACTATGTTTTCCTAGTCTAGAATAAACTAATCCCATCTTCTTCCTACTATGGTGTCATAATTTAGCTGTAGTATGTCTGATGCTTCTAACAGTATAGTTATACAGCAGATGGCTCTTGTGGCATGGTGGTGTAAATAAAATGATGCTGAGAAGGACAGCTCAAAATTTCTTTTGCGTAAGCTCACAAGACTGTCGCATCTGCAATTTCACCTCTACATCAAGGAACTGTGGAGTAAGAAAATATCAAAATTGCTTTTTTTTTTTTTCCATCTGAAACATTTCTCAGTTGGAAGTTTTTTGCACTTTCTTATTTGTTTATTTAACTCGTTACCAACAGGACAGTGGATGATAAATATCATTTTAACAGAATTTAGGTACAGGATGGACCCGAAGCCAGAATTGAAGTACTAATGTTTGGTAAAACAGTTCATTATTAGAAAGATTACATTAAAACATAATTGGTATGGCACTGGCACTTGGAAATCACGAATACTTTAGGCTATCTGTGCTTCCCTCGTGTATAGCAAAGGGATGATGCAAAAATCAAATGTCCAGTTTCCAGAATGACAGGGAAGTTAGCAAAGTGCAAATTGTTGCAAGGGAATCTTCACCCTCTCATGTAAAAAGCTGATTTACTTACCTCTTTATTCTTAAAAGATTCCCCAATAGCATAGACATCTTTAAACCTTCTTATGAAAGAATTACCTCGCAGATCTACATTAATACCAAAGTTTGACATGTTAAAACCATTCCCAAAGCTCTAAAGTGAATATTGGGTGGAGGATAAAGTTTGGTGTCTTCATTTACTGAATTGTTAATTAATTCTTTTCAAACTAGGCTACAAAGACCCTGAGATTTGCTTCCTTTTCTTCATCAGTTTTCTGGCTAATCTTGCCACTTGGAGATTTCCCAGTTGAAGAATATTACAGGAATATCCAAAGCCGAAAGAATAAATTTGTGAACTGCATCTATTCTCTGCTTAAGAAAGTACTAATCTTTCTGAGATGGGCTGCAATTTTTTTCAATCACTCTGGCTTTCTTAGCACTTCATTTTAGCTATGAGGAAACTTCAACTCTTTTCATATGCAAATGAAAATAGCTGCTGTATAAGATCCTGAAGAATCCTTTCCTTTACATTTTAACGACCTCGGCCAAATTTCTGTTTTAAGCAAAAAAAAAAATTTAAGACTGCCAGCTGAACAGCTAGGGAAGCATTTAATTAGATTCTTTTTAATAGCTGTTTGTGAGGCTATATTAAAGCATTTAACAATCTGTTGCCTCAGAATGACCTTTTAATGCGCAGGTGTATTTTTTACTATATATTCTCCTTCATACTTTACTCTGTAAACTAATTTAGTAATATCTTCTAGTCTGTTCCTGGCCTCAGATAATTTTTATTTCTGTTGAATGCCTGAGAACTCCCCATCACACATAGTTTCTGGCAATTGCAAGAGTACTGATATCATTTGCTTAACCACTAACTGTAACACAAAGATATGCATCATCAGATTCCCTGTGTCACAATTACAGATTACAGCACAACCTGTCCCATTTTAAGGATCAGTCTGTGATGCAATTAGTCAATTAGTAACATCTAGAGCATTTTAAGGAGTGTCAATCTGAAAGCAAATCTCTCCTTTCCTACCAGGAGCAAATGTGTATGATACATGACATCAGTGTCACTAGCAGATTTTTATAAAGAATCTATTTGATTGGAAAAAAAACAGTGCATTCAGAAAATACAAGAAAAATGCCTTCAGTTTATAGTTCATAAAACAGCTAGCTTACGCATTGTGTTCATTTTAGCCTTGTACACTAAGACATTTTTTTGTGTCCAGTAAAATACTAAGAAAACATGGTAGAAACCATGCAGTCTTACCTTAGCATATCATGAAAATCAAATTAACTTTTTAAATGAGAAATCCTGATTCTAGCTAGAAGCCACCATATGATTTTGGCCTTGTTTTCTTTGTAATCAACCAATATTAATCTAGAATAGTTCAACTGCCAACACTGCAATTACAGTGGTATAAAACTTGAGTTAGAGGAGTATTAAAATACAGGCACTAAACTTTAAACCTAAATCCAAATATCTCTGAAGTGTTCTAGATGTTTTGAGACTAATGGGACTGCAGTTAATGTCAAAAATAATCAGTTTTGAGGAACCAGTTTCACAGCTTTATCCTTTCCACCCCAAAAACTCATTTCAGTAGCTGTTACATAAGGCAGACTGAACTTTTGTCCTTTGTTGGATGCAGCTGCCTTTGCTCTTTGTGGTGATGGGATGTTGAAAGGTTACCGACTGGACCCCTAAGAAGATTTGATGCTCAAGGTCAATAGTTATATTTGATTTTTCTTTGTCTCTGTTAAAAAAACTATATATGCCATCTTGTCTCTAGAGAGAACTGGGATCTCAGCTGGGACTAGTGATATAGGGCAACACTCAAGAGGCATTTTTCATGTTGGAAAAGTAGTGAAAAAAACCAGAAGTGCAATAGGAGAACTATCCAAATACCTGCACCTTTCAAACTAAATTGATTTGTTAGGAAACGAGTGCTCCTGTATTTAACATTCTGCCACTAATTATAAAAATTGATGCATGATTACTGCTATGCATGCAGCTATCCATGACAGCAAGTAATCATCCTGCTTATCAATGATTCTGAATTCCATTTTCACTGTGGAGAACTGGTCTGTGCCTGAGCTTAAATAACTGAATGCACATATTCAGTTCCTGGGGAAAAAATATGTTTCACTCTTATACTTAAAGTCTGGAAGTACTTACATTTATGGGGATTTTTTCTTGACCTACTTGCTATAGCAATAAAAGTCGAGCTTGAGAAGTTGGTTCTGTCTAATCTTCATTTATAGCTAAGTTATTTATTTATTTCCTTTTTAAGATAGAAACTGCTATTTTAAATGAGTAACTCCAGGCAATGTATCTAGTCTCTGCTTTAAACAATCCAGTTCCGACTTTCTCCTATACCTGTGCTGTAAGATAAGAAATCCATAGAACATTAGCTGCAAATGAAAAGAGTAAATGGAGCAATACCTCAACAGCTGCCTTTGCTCTTTCAAATTCCTCCTCCAAAGAGTGATTTCTGGAGAGTAAAGGCCCTCCCCAGCGCTGCTCCTTAGTTGATCGTGCCTAAAAGAGAAAAGAATAAATCAGAAAGGGATGACATCCTCTCTGCCACATTTCTGAGTTATTTCCTTAAATTGCCTACAGCCTGAAATGGCCTTTTGCTTGGGCAAAACTAGTTGCATCCCTGCATGAACTCCTCTGAATTCTCTTACACTGTAGCAGAGATCATTCCTCATGGGAAGCAGAGTAATTGATCTTTTCCAGACTTTTATTTTTACTCAAGATGTGTGAAAGACATAGAGACCTCCAGGAAAAGACAATGCGAGAGTTGGGCTACAAAGGGAACAGCTGACTATTTTGTGTAAGACTTTTACCTTAATTGTTCCTTCTCCAGTATTATGACTGTGGCAATGCATTCCACTCTTTATGCTCCAGGAAGAAGACATCTGATTTTCCCTGTATATTTTGTGGTGTTCTTTCAGATTCTGCTTTGATACCACACTAGAGAGCCACATTTGCTACAGATTTCACTGGAAGCACAGATGCTTTTTACAGTCAGGAGCTCTCTTTTTTGTGCCTTACTATCAGTCGATCCCATTGGAAGCACATGACAAGTTTCTCCCCGTTCTTTTATTAAAAACATTTTAGTTATTTTTTTGCACAAAAGGCCCAGTACAAAACCAAACAGTATTCAGTGAGGGCATAGGAAAGCACAAAGTGTTTTTTTCTAAGCAGAGCTCTGACTGCTAATCCCTTTCCTCATGTTTGTTAGAGGTTAAACTCATTAGCCATTTGCCTGACCATGGTCCCTAATGTATTAATTTATATTATATTTCTGATGACTGTACTTGTAATATTCATTAAGCCATATTGCTAAACCACTAATTCTGCTCATTTCACGCATATTGGGCTGGAACTGCAAGTGGAATGTGCACTGTTGGGGTGAAACACCCCAGACATATAAATCATGTGCAATGCATGGTCAAATAGGTATGTCTGTGTGGATTTTTACCTAGGAAAGATGACATTCGTTTGTCAATCTAGCTCTAAAGTTTCTGTTTGTTCCTGAGTCTTTGGTCTCTCTGATAGATTGATGAGTGAAATATATACTGGGTTGATGATACACATGAGGTTAGAAGAGAATGACCCTGCACAATTTCTATGAGACCAGGTGGTGGGGGGCACTGCATGCATTCTTCTGTGTTGGTTTCTGGGCTTTGCTGCAAGTGATGGAAGCACAGAGCATGAGAGAAGACCTGCACTGAGGATCTGTTGTTTCTGCTTTCACACTGACTGTCTCTGGTCTGTGTTGTTGGAAAAGTACTTTTTTTATTTGGTGAGGCCAGGAAGAGATACCAGGTTGTCATTAAAAACATGCCAAAATCCTATACACAAACCAGTTATTTTAGTGAATAATAGAGTTTAGGGCAGAAGAGACAACAGATTTAAGTCATCTATTTATTTATATATCATACAACAGTATTTGTCACTCAACATCTGCAAGCTGAAACTGATGTTCCACAGAGAATAAACTGAGGTTGTCTGGAATATGTGTCTTTGAGGAGGGTGTGTGGTTTTAATTTAAAGTTATCAAGAGACCTTAATCTTATCACTTTATTTGCAAATTAATTTAATTGCTGTCCTTGTTTTTCTTATTAGTTTTCCTTTCAGTTTCCAACTATCACTTTTTACTCTTTTTTCAGTAGTTTAAAGATCTTTTTAGTACCCAGTATTTTCTCTCTGGAAAGATACTGATGTCTTGAATCAGGTTTTAACTGTATTTTAAATTATATAAAGAGGTTGAGATTCTAAATTACCTCATTATGAGGCATTTTCTTCTGATTTCAGCTTTTTTTTGTGTCTCTTTTATTCTCCCTCTTTATTTTTTTTAGCTCTATTTTTTTAATAGCCATACAGAAAACCAAAGAAAACACTATATTCCAGTTATCTGTCTTGCTGTTTCTCTATACAGAATTGGGGTGATTGCCAGTCTCCCACTAATTATGCCTGCTTCTGCACGCTCATCTTGCCACAGTACTGTACACATTGTCATGTTGACATCCTTGTACACTCTGAACTATAGATTCTTTTCAAATTGCCTTCCAGCATAATGTTGTAAGTAGAGCCTGTGTTCTAGTTCTGAAATGTATTATTTTGTGACTGTGTTGGAATATGTCTTTGTACAGATGTATTGGTCATCAGCTCAGGACCGGCTGGTAATGACTCCCTTATTTACATATTTTTCATTACATTTTTTGCATCATATGCCAGTTTTATCAGGAATGGTTTGCATCTTTATTTTCAGATCAGTAAAACCAAAGACCATGGTTTCTCTTTGGAATTGCAGAAGAGCCCCTATGTGATTACAATTCATAGTAAATAACTACTGTTCTTGAGATCTTAGGTTAGCCAGTTTTTTTATCTGTTTAACAGCTGCTTTATTCATACGGTATGGTGCCAATTTTAAAATCAGAATATGGTAAGTTAATTCAAACATCTTTCAGAATATCACACAGCAACATTTATCAACCTGACCTGTAATCTGATCAAAGAATTATATTTGGTTTCTTGACACAAAACTCTGTTGCAAGACATTAGTTATGTTCCTAGGCTTTTCATTATTTATAAGGTGGCTCTTGCAAACTTTGATTACTTCCACTTCTTAATCTTTTGTTTCCAGTGACTGCAGTTTCCTTAGGTCACGTACAGTACTGTAAATCATGACACTCAGACTGAGCAGTGCTGCAGAAGGGGAGAGTGTGCTTGTTGGGGCAGTAGAGAGGTGAAGGGGAAAAGAACAAAAAAAGCCGATGTCTCCTACATCTGTGCCATGTAGGGGATGGCACGGCACGTCTGCCGCTTGTCAGAGTATACACACTGTCCCCACATATTCCCCTCAGAAATATGCTTTCTCCTCCATTAGATGCACAGCCAGAGGGGAAAGAAAGAAGTAGTTAATAAGACCCATATAAGCTGCATTTGGATGTAGACAATGCAGTCATATTCTGAGTGGTGATACGCAAAAGTGAAAGACCCCACTTAAAACAAACATGCTGCCTTTTGCTAGTGCAGGATAGAGGGGATGGGAATGGAGTGCTGGCACTGGAGAACTTCACATCTCCAGCTGGTGATGGAGTGGGACTCTGAACCTCCCTCCCTCAAGGGGAGCCCAAGGCAGGTAGGGGTCAGGGTGGAATGGATATGTCTGAGGCATGGACACTGCATAGACTGTGGTTTGATATGCTCACCACTCTACCATGGAGGTGCTGTAGCTGATCACTGGCTGCTGTCTTCAGGGACAAAATCTTCCATTCCAATGCATTTGCACACACTTTCCTGCACTTGTTGTCTGCTTATGTGCTGTTGGACCTTAACTGTTGGTGAGAGGCTTAAATTATAGTCTTAACTTTTGAGCAGGTCTTCAAATAATGAGCTAAATCTGTCCCTTGTAGCTCTTAATTTCATTAAATTAACTGGCACATTCATAGAGAACTGGGGCCATCAGTCTTATCTGGGAGAAGTGGGGAATAAATTCTTCATTCTAAATATTGTTGCCCCAAACTACAGGTTTCTAAGATTTATGAGCTTTGTGTATTACTTTGTCTGAGAGTGCTGACATACTGGAATTAGGTATGGTTGTTTAGCATGTCAGGGGTTTTGTGTATGCATTCTGTGTGAGCAATAAAATATCTGAAATGCCCAAGGAGGTATTTAGAAAGTTTAAATATGAGCAGACTTCATGCAATATACAATTGAACATTATCTCCCTCTGCAGTTTGTAATTATAAGAGAAAAAATAAGCCATCAAAAACACCCAAACACTGTAGGTATCTCAGTACTAATAGAAGCACAGCAAGGAACTTTCCAGAATGGCAGGTAAAATAAAGAATGAAGATACTTTGGGCCAATGCAGTTTATGAGTTAATAATAGGTAACATATGATGCAAGTAGAATGCTGAGAAGAGGACCGCACTCAGTGACAGCTACCATGCCACTGCCCGTTCCAGCCTTCAAACACATTTCTTCCTTATTAATTCAAAGCTTACATTTGTGATTTGGTGTTGGCGTAAATGCTGGTAAACACAGGATTTTGTTAAGAAGATTGCATAATTTTAATGAAAATATGATCTAGTTACTTAGTATTTCACTCTGAGGAACTAAATCTAACATGTCAGAGATGAATGATGAAGGTGATTGTCTGAGAAACTGCTGATGGAAAACTGCAGTAAGTTTGACAAGCTGAAATCTTTAGGGTATGGCAGAATCTGTTGCATATGCAAAAGTTACCCATAAATGAGAGAGACAAGATCTATAGAGGACAAACTATGGAAAACATATGCTTTGATAAAAGCTCTAACGTGATTTCTTTTACAAGCAGATTAAGAATGCAGTCAAGACAGATGAGCATGTTTGTTGGGAAATGACAACTTTTGACAGTCCAGGTATAAGCAGGACGAAGCAGGCAGTGAATTATAATACTAAATTTGTAAGTAAACTACTTGGAACAAGAAAACAATCTCACTTCAGGTCACTTCTCTGCACTACTGATTACCAGTTTAACAACATTTCATGACTTGAATGGATCGCAAGTTTGGGAAAAAATGAGCTTACAATAAAACTAAACAAACCATGAAATATACCAGGACAACAGATAATAATTTTATACTCTGCTTCTTTTTCGAGTTGGCTGATTCAGCTTCACATATTTTTATTTTGAAATACTAGTTATTTTGGAAAATAGTACGGAAACTCAGCTGACTCAACTTACACTGAATTAAAAATGTGGATTTTTGCCTCTGCAGTTATTCTAGTGGAAGATAAACAGGAAATAGACCATATAAAATAGTTATGTTAAATACTAAATTTGTAACTGCTTTTACAGAAAGACACAGCACTTAAATTCTGTGACTGTCTAGTTGATTTACACGCATCTTGATTAAGCACAAACTTCCTGGCATTTAGATCTATTAGGCTGAGGAACAGCCTCCTAAAAAGGGGTTAGAGGTACTTAAAGATACGATGATCAAAAGCATGTGAAAACACACTGTCTGTCTCAAGTGGATGATATTATGCAATAGACCTTTTCCATTACTAAAATGTATAAATCTATTGCACACACAGGAAAAATATTATGCATTACAACTAGTGTTAGGCTTTCCAAAGGGGAAAAACTTGTTTATAATGTATAGATGGCAGGGAAGTAAAGGAGACTTTTTTCCTAATCAAAACACAGGAATGGATCCTAATAACTGGGTTGTGTTTATATTTTCTCCAAAAAAAACCTTCCATGCATAATTTCAGGAAAGACATTTGCAACTTTGGTGTCTCATTTTTCTGATTTCAAGTGAGGCTTTTATTTTCCATTAATTTCCAGATTTTCCATCTGATAGAAATGTTTTGAAGTCCAGGACTAAAAATAGCTGTGGAAGAGGAGAAAAGTATTTTCAACTAAAAGTTAATCCACCAAATATCTCTCTCTTCCCCCTACTAGTGGCATTGGCTGAACTTGAAAACTTTTGGTTAAAAAAATAAGAAGCAGGCAAGAAGGATTGTATAGTGACCTGATCTATGCAATATATAATGCATGTTTGTACATACATATGCATACCTGCACATATAATGTATGTTTGAACATATATATGCATACATGCATATGTAAAACCCATACAACTCAGTAATAACTTCCACAAAGTCCTGTCTAAAATACAATATGACAGTGAAATTAGGCAAATCTAGAAACTTTCAACCCAGAGCCTTCTTCATTAGTGTTCCCATTCCAGCAGGAAAATGTCCTTGGCCCACTCTGCTCTCCCTCCTGTGGAGATAAATTGCTAATGAAAGTTGGTCTAATGATTCTTTCCTGTATTCCTTAGCCATTTTCCAGTTCTGGAGACTCCTGGTTTACCAAAAGACCTTGAGAATAGACATATGACAAGGAGAGGGAGCCACTAGAAGTCTGAATTTGAGAACTAGAGAAATGGAGAAAAGATGATGCTGTAAATTGTAGTTTGAACTCTTTCTGTACAGGAGGGTCACAGTTCAGCTGCCAGTTTAATACTGGCAGGATTATTTTCATAATATTAATTTGGAAGCTCTGTGAAGATTTGGTTGTATAATTTTTTTTAACTGATGATCCTGAAAATCTCTCTTAAATATTCCTTCCAGAAAGTAAACAGATAACCACTGGTGCAATTCCTACTTGTCTTTTTATTGTTAATAAATCTACCATATCCTCTTACCTGTGTTGCAGATGCAAGTTCTAATTCTGATGTTGAATCGGATTCCAAGGCACTCTTGACATTAGTCAGCTCAGACTGTGATCTGTTTTCTGTGGACCTGGAAACAATGCATTTACATACTTACCACTGCATACTACAGCATGCTTCCTTATGTCTTTCAGGTTCATAAGCACATACTGATTAGCTTATTTCTTTTAACTGAATTGTTTTATCTGCAGTTATCAGAAGTGCCTGGACCCTTGTCAGTGTTCCCACTCTTAGACTTTTCAGTCATATGCAGACAGTAGTTAATACAACAGAACAGTCAGGCCTGATTCACCAGTAGAGTCCATGGTATGTATTGGCATGAAATTAGTACGATGGGATGAAGACTTTGTCTCTAATGCTATGCTTCTATTCCATAGCCAGGCAGAATGAGGTTAGGCAATGACACAAGACTGTATCTGCAGTCAGTATCTAAGAATCAACCACCACATTACAAAACTTCACCTTGGCATACGTGCATTTTTGTGCCACAATATCCTAATAGTCTTTCTTCCTAGAAAATGAAACCCTGATTACCAAAATTGAGTTCGCTGAGCAAAACGTGTAATGTTTTAAGTTAATGAAACACCCTGATAAAGCGTAGGTTAAGATACAGGATAAGCATCATTTGTTCAGAAAACTGCTTCTAGTGTATGAAAATGCTAATTATGATGATGCATAATGTAGTGAATGAGTGTTGCTTACATATCAGGAAGGCAGCAGAACTAATCTACATGAACTGTTCTCAAAGGCAAAGTCCAATTCTCCCCTCGTTTACATCCCCTGCGGTTTTAGTTGAACTGCATGGAAGAGGTAGTACTTGTCTTGGATATTTTATGTTGCTTCTTCCATTTGTACACAGAAATTCTGCCCTCTTGGTAGCAAAACCAAAATACAATGGATATCCAGTGACTGTCATATCACTGCCAAGCATCCTTTTTTACTTATTTTACTCATGTTTGTAGGTGGTTTTAAATCACTGCATGCCTCTGTAGAATTCTCATCACCATTTATTTACTAATTGCACCTGCTGCTTTTCACAACACTGAAAATTACTGTCAAAATGTAATTATATAGTGTACTTGCTTATGATACATTGCCCAAAATATCTTCTTGAACACGTTTAACGTAGTCATAACAGACTTAATGACTTGTCATGAAGCGAGCATTTCTGTGAATTAAGAAAGCTGGACTGGAAATATTTTTTGTAAGGAAAGCAAAAATTTGTACCATAAAAGCTCTTTTGATGGAGCTCTAGATGATGATGATGTTCGCTCTGCAGAAGGGTGGGCTTTGCTACTCCTGTCTCCAGGAAAACTGACATCATCCCATTTCTCTAGCTGTGTCTGAATATCAACTGAAAAATAAGAAAATAAAATATATATATATTTTAAAGAAACTACTGCAGAAAATTTTATCTCTTCTGTTAAGAGGTTATAGAGAAATTGGTGCCACCAGACTGTACTTTAGTTAAGGCCCAATAAACAGAAAAGTTGTGCAACTTTTTAGCTGATACTCTATGAAAATATTTTGGAATTGACAGCATTTTTTCTGTTAGTATTCATGGTCAGGATGTCAGTGAGACTCTTTCATTTAAAATCAGTAATTTGTAAGTAATTTAGATCTGTTGATAAAATTATATGATTTGATAGTTTTGGATATTTTTAATTTCCTAGTTATAGTCAAATTGTAAAAATAAAACTTTTTAGTGACTACCATTTAAAAATGACTTTGTAGGCAACTGATATTATTCAGTCATATGTCGGACTTGCTTTGCAAAAATCAGATGTTCACCTCCTGTTTGAGGATAAAGTTCTCAAAAAGAATTTCTGTGCTGATGAATGGAAATCTGCTACCTTGGTATAAATTACATTTACCTTGCAAATTTCTCAGCTGTGGTGCAAGTAATTTTGTTTGGATGGAACTAAATTAAATTCATCTTTTCCAAATCTTATCTATAGGTCATGCTTGACAGGATATTAAGTTGTGTTTGGGATTATTATATATTTTTTTTAGCCTGTATAAACATAGCTCTCTATCAAGAAGGGATTTTTTTTTTATCTTGTATGCATAGATAAAGTAGTATTTACAAATCTAATGTGTATTTCTGACATCTGCGGTTCTGAAAAGGACATTCATGGGCTGGATGATTTGTGTCCTTTACCTATTTCTTATCAATCCCCTATAGATTTTTCTTCCATTTTACCCTGACTAAATTATTTTTTGTAAGAAATTTGCACATTTAGTAACTTCATAGGTTAAAATGGCAAAGGCAAAACAGGTTTCAAGTTTAAGGTGTTTCAAGTAGTTTATAATGTGGAACAAAGGCTACCCTCTCTGGTGTAACAAAAATTCTGGTCCTGCTCATTATCTTGTGACAGTAGCAAGGAAAAATTCGTGCTAAGCAAGAGGAAAAATTTGTGCTAAGCAAGGCTATCTAGCACTGATAAAAGAGCTACACTCTTACCTAAATCTAGTGAAGACTTGTCTGAAACTCTGACAGTCTGGGCTTTCTGCTCAATATCCACGCTTATAAGGTCAGAATTGTCTGTCTTCTTTCTGTGGATTGAAGCTTTTAAGCCTTCACTTCTTGATGGATTCTCTGATTTCTTTGCTTTGTTTTGGCTTTGTAAGACAGGTTCACTAAGATCCAAGAGATCCAGACCTGTTGATAATACTTGGAGACAAAATGTTAGAATTCAATGTTGTTTTAATTTGAACAGCTCACTCAAAAAACTTGGTTTAATTGGAAAAATATATGAATGTGTTTGCACTTGACTACAGCAAATGTATATTTCCTGGCTGATGATGTTTCCTGGATGATGACCAGTATATTCAAATTGATTATTAGGGATTTCAGGTGCTTAACAGGATGCAGTTTAAAGAAGCTTAATTTGCATAAAAGGCTTTTCCTCTGAAAACCTTAAAGAACTCTTAGATCTGATATTGTGAGAGTTCCCCTTACAACTGAGCTTTTAGATAAGATTTGGTTTAATCCTGTGATTTATCAAGTAGCTGCACAAGGCACTACTGTTGTGCTACATACCATTATGGGAAAACCTGAAGAGTAGACAGTTTCTAGAGTGGATTTCTTGGGTCCTAAAGGAGTAATGGTACTTTTAGTAATGGTTTCTACTGTTGTTGCTCTTTGTCTTTTGAGGAATAAATACAGAATATAGTTATAAATTCTACTGCTATTTCTATTAAGCACTGTATCAGCCTGAAAGGCATGTTCAGTCTCAGTTCTTCGTTTAAAGTTGCTTAAGGAGTAACATTTAAAATTATTTTGCACATAAAAGATAAAAATCCTCCCTCTTTATCTTTCTTTTATAGGGCAGGTGTCTTTGACAGATCAGTTTGGATTATCTCTTGCTGTGCTTTACCTGTGTTCTTGGAAAACCAGTGAATTTCATCAATCTTCATAGACATTTTTATTTTGCTATTAAATAATTGCAATTATTCCCTCCCCAGTCTGATATCTATTCAAGGCAGATATAGTATCTATAGATAGTTTTTACAAGCACCACTCTTAAACAACCTGAAATATTTTTATTGATCCTTGTAATATCTTTAGCTATATATAAAAGGAAAAGATATTACTTACTATTGTTATTTAATTCAGTGTTCTGGATTTTGCTACTAGGACTTGCATATTGCTTCAGACATTTATTAATTAAATGTGAAGATAATCACTCAGCTGTCAGTTACTCATTTAATAATTTGCATGTATATAGATTTTAATTAAATGGCTTCTAACCAGCCAAGTCACTTAATGAGACAGCAATAGAACATAGTAGTGCTGTGCTGATTTTATTGTAACTTAGTTGATCTGCTCAACCACTTTGATTTCCTTTGCACAAAGGAAAGTCCTATACTGAACAGGACAAGGCCAATTCCAAAGGACAATATATTTCAAATATAATTCAGTATAATTCAAAAAGCTTTCAGAAATCACTATTACTTTTTATTATGTGCTCACATCTTATTATCACTATATCTCACTATCTTCTTATCTCATTGCAACACAAGGGAGATAAGAAATGTGTTAGATCCTTTCATTAATAAAGTGACCAAACTCAGCCTGGATAAACTGTTTTGGTATCTCTTCCCTTCTCTCTGACATCCCATCCAAGTTTTTATTACAGAAGGTCTTTCTAGAAGAAGTAATGGGTTTGGATAAAGCCAGATAAATGTGGCTTCCTGTAGGTTAAAATTTTGCAAAACCAGATTGAGAATTGCTCAAACTGGTATGTACTTCCTCTTGAACTTAAACAAGTTCGCTTTACTTCAACACCAGAGATCTGCTAGAACATATGTGATTTGGATCACATCAGATTTGCCCTCAAATGGCATGAACAAAGCTTTTTCTACTAATAGATGAAGCAATTATAATTTAATACCAGCTTGTAATTTTGTGCAAATAATAACAAATCAAGAAATCTCTTGACAAAAATGTACCATAATTAAGATAAATTTAAAATTATTTCTCTCTAGTGAGTGATAGTAAAGAATTTTGATTACCTGCAGTATTTGATGTTACAGGTCTTGCAACAGCTTCTGGTTTAGTTTCACAGAGAAAGTCATCAATGGAGGGGCTCAGAAGTGGTCTGCTTTCTTGTTGCTCATTCACCAGCTACCAACAAAAAATCCCAGGGTAACAGTGTGGTGTTGGCATGCAGAATTTAAAAAAATAGAACATATTCTCACAATACCATGTGCTTTATTTTTGATTGTGAGAGGGTAAGATACTGCAATTAGAAGGTATACATATAGCCCTGGGCTTAAAATAACAAACTGCAGTCACTCTTTTGGGGGAAAATTATATTCCAGTTTTCCAAATTGCACAAAAATAAAGCAGCAAGGTGATTTTCCCATAGTAATTATTGCATACTATTGCTTATAGGGCTAAATTATACAAGGCCTGGTGTAACACCCCTCAGATCAATAGGTGAAATTAGCCTCCTCCACCACGAGACTAAGCAGCGCTTTTTTAGTATTTGGAAGTGGTTTTGTTTTGTTTTTTTTTTTTACAGGTAACATAATACCATTTCATGAAAAAATATGCATTAGCCCATTAAACAATAACCTGCTGAGACACAAAACACTTCTCTGCAATACAAAGACATATGAATGACTGTGGACAGAGCTTGGTGAATGTATGAACTTCCTTCATGAGGTTTGACTGTATGAATGTCATCAAAATCTGGGAAATAAACTCTAACCAGAATGGTAGGTTAGATGAAGACTCATAATACAGTTTTTATTTGTGCAATTGCATTAGTTTTCTGGTACCTAAAAGAAATCTCTCTATTACAGGCTATTTCATGTATTGGGGATTAAAAAGACAAACCAGAAAAGCAGTCTCAGATATAGAAGTCTCTTGTCTGCAATCTAGCTCTGATTGGAGGATCAAGACCTAAGCTAAGCTGTGTACGTTTCTGATGGTGTGGCCTGTGTTTGTCTTTAATAATGTGAAGTCATGTTTTCCTTCTGTCTGTTGCTTTCATCTGGAGCTGTGTCAGCTTTAGTTTTATCCTCCCTGCTCTACTTCTCTTCGTTCTGTTCTTATTCTTTTCCCACTGCTGAATTTTCAAAATGTTCTCTCAGATGTATTTGACCTTTTAAATTTAGGATGCTGAGACAGAGTAAAACTTAAAAAAAGGTACTTATTTATCCTCATTTTATATATGTTAATTACTGGCACTTAGCTACTCCAGTAGTAGAATTGCCTCTAAAGTTACTACAGCCAAACAGTTTAGACACTTAGAGCTATTGAAATAAAAAGTCCATTATTTTGATGGATCAAATGTTTAGCCTGGTACCTAGTGCTGACTGATTGTATAATATGTGCACTAACTAATTTGCCCAGGACCTTACATTTTTGCACTGACATACCAATTTACATGAGTAGCATGAAGACAAATGTGTGATTGCCTGCCCAACTGTGTGTAGCAGAACATGCAAACGTGGGCACTTAATTTAGAAATCTAGCAATGATACTGTCCTGAATTCTAATTCTTCCTATGCTAAACTCAGACTTCAGGTGCATCTTAAAGGTGACTTAATGATGTGGTTTTTCAGCTCTCTGAACTGATTGTCCAGGTTGCTCATTCAACACTCAGAAGTTACTTGCTTAACTGAGTAAATCTCAATACTTGATGGAAGTTGCATTTATGCCAGCTGCACAACTTATGATTTCCATTAAAGGTGGCTCTACAGTACCCACATTATCTCCAGGTCTGAGCTTTACCTAATACTTAAGAGGACCTTATTTTCTCTTTATGATTTGGTGACAGTCCTTTCTCATTTCTAGTGGTGAAAAAATGAAGGTGGATGCCTAGTTAATTCTTATCCAAGTTAATTTTAATGTTTCAAAAGTTTCTTTACAATCAAATGCAGCTATCAGCACAAAAGTATTTGAATACAATTTTTTGTTTTGCATTTACTCATCCCATTCTAGGAGCTAGCATTAATAATAGCTAAAAGTGGTGCTTTCGCAACTAGTTGCATGTTCAGGTGAACATAGCATCCAGTAGAAAGATTGTCAAAGCCTCTGGATCAGCTGGATCTTCAACAATCTATTCTGTGATACAATACAGTGTAAAGTCCTGTTTGGAAGGGGGACAGAGGGACATGAGAGAAGAAAGAAGAGGTTCTATAGCAATCGTTCTAAATGTAAAAACTTCATAGGAAATACTCTGTTTCTGTAAGAAACTCTAAATAGAGTAGGTTACATTGTCACATAAGATCTGAAAGCTTATCAAGTTTCCCATTACTCTCTGTAGAAATTTTCCTTAATAGGAAAGAATTGGGAAAGGAGGGAATAGAGAAGTATTATAATAACCATGACAGCCAAGATCATTCACTGGAGACAGTGAAGAATGGAAAATCTGAAGACCAACTGGAAAGGAGGTAATGCTAAGAATCAGAGTTGCAGAGGGAAGGAGACTACAATCAACAAAGATCTGAATTTCTCCAAGGTTCAGCTGAAAAATGGAGTAGCAGATGTCAAGCAAGTATTTTTTCTTTTCAAAGCTGGTTATCATATCCCTAGAAATTTCTTTATTACGTTGTTTATAGATAGAAAAAGTGCTCAGTAAAAGGCCTTCATTAGTTTGATACCTGCAGTGTATTCTTTAAAGTCCCTTGACAAAATTCTATCAGCAAACAGAAAGAAGATTGGTGGTAATACACATTTCAACCATTTTACCAGAAAACACCAATAAATTATTTTTACTTAACGGTGTATTCTTTCTGCTGCATTTGCTTTGTGAACATTTACACCAAATCCATCAGACATGGGCCAGAGAAATAACACATTTTACATTGTACTCTTCATGTGTCTATAACGGCAGAGTAGTTAGATGACATTAGAGGAGGAAAGTTATTTCACCTATAGGCAAAGGTTGGCACAAAACCAGAGATCTAAACTGGCCATGTGGTTGCTTCAGAAGTGGACTATGGCCCACTGGGTCCCTGCTAGTCCTGTGTCCTATGCTCCTACAACTAAGGACTGGAAGCTGCAAGAGTGGCAAGGGAAAAAATAATCTGCTTTCAAATACATGATCAAGTCTACTAATGCTCAGTAAATAAAAACTACATATATATAGCAATAGAATGTATTAGAAAAAATATGATTTTAGCCTGAAGCATGCATTTAATGATGAATCAAACCTTAGCAGGTTAAAGAATGCCATGAGCTGATAATTTTCCTGTAGGTAAGCGGGCAGTGGGGAGAGTTTCTGACATTACTGTGTATGCAGTACTACTTGGTAAGCCCTCTGCCTCACACTTGGAATTTCATTTTGCTGCCTCATATATTGTACCAAATTTATGCCTAGTTTAACTCTGCTCAAGTTATTAGAGTTATATCAGGCATGAATTTGGAGTAGTACTATAAAACATTCATGAGATGAAAACTATTATCTATATTAAAGTAATAATTTATGGTTCTCAAGCACCTTTCAGGGTGAAAATCACAGAATGCTTTAAAACATTTATGAATCAAGCCTGGCACCACTGCAGAGCTGAGAAGTATTATCTTTATACTGCAGACAAGAAAAGCAAAGTGAAATTAAGAAAGCCACCTAACACCGACCAGCACTGGAGGAAGCAGCAGGAGCCAGTATTTATGTGTGCAGTATTTGTACACATGCCAAATGGTACAGGCTCCACCTGTGAAACTTGAGTTCTGAGTACTAATTTAGCCAGTGAGTGCCATAAACTCTCATAATGCCTCTAAGAACTTAATTTTTCATTACAAAATTCATTTTAGTTAAAAGCCCCCACACTCTATAGCGACGTTCCCTACTACTAATACAGCTGAATAGACTCAACTGTATAAAACACTCATTCTAAATTAAAACAAATTTTTTGTGACTGACTCCTGCTGTTGGACAGCGGCAGAACAGGAAAAGGTACTTTTTCTCACCCCAGGACTGGTACTGGAACTTTCTGTTCTGAAAAGCATGGTGTGGTTTTGGTGCTTTGGGAGAATCAGAAGTGTCATCTGGTGGCTGTTATCTGCCACACATCTTTAATACACGCAAAGCAGGAATTACTTAGCAGAGATCTGAGACGAGGCACAGAGGCTAGGTCACACAGTGGTGGCTGCCACGCTGGAGACGTGTCTGCCAAATATCCCTCAGCACAGCCTGGGCAGTCCTAGGAATCATCTGCTCTTTATTTTCTGTGCCCTGTCATGTGCTGCATCCCCAGCTGTCTGCATTTATTCAGCTGATATAGTTTATTGCCTGCAACTGCCTTTGTTGTGGAGTTCTCCTTTCCTTAGTGCTCTGGTTTGCCTAGTCGTCTCCATGCTGCCCCCAGAGCTGCTGTGAGATGAGGAGAAAGCAGCAGCTCATGGCAATTTTTTCTATGGGCGATCCACAGGCTTGAAGGGTAGGTGGAAGCCCAATGAATGGTGCTGGTTTGGGGTCAAACCATGTTTAAGCCCTAGGTGGGCTTAGACATGGGTGTGCTGGGGCAGGGGGGAAGTATTGCTGTGGAAGACATGCAGTGCTGGGTCCCTGAGAGGAACCAGAGGGATTTCTTCCTTCTAGGCAACATCTAGCCTGGTCTTAGACTTTCTTATCACCCACACAGGGCCTCTTCCTCTATCCTGCAGTCACCCATAAAGCCTCCCAGGTCTTATTTTCTCTCCCTTGTCCTCCTGCCTCTGCTCAGGCCTGGCACCTCCCTAGGGAGTTCACATGGGACACAGTGGGCACCCAGCTACTGCCATGGTGACAGCTCTGCTCTCCTGTAAGAACTTGTTTCCTGCTCATTTTCAGGGTCTTTTGCTTATGGTTTTAATACAGGTGCTTCTTGCAGTGCAGATGGCAGTGCTGGCCTGTTTTTCTATGCTAGAGACAGTGTGAGGTTATGTATGTATACAGCAAGTACTGTGGTTTGGTTTTGCTTTGCTCTTAGTCTATTCTTTGTGTTGTAGTAAGAGAGCTATGAAATACCTCAGGAGTAGCCTGATTTAAAATAAATTAAAAGAAAAAAGGGGTGGGTGGGCAGTTGACAAGGCTCTGTTGTGAAAAGTTCCCACAAAGCACCTTAGTTTGGCCTTAAGGCAGAGGGAGCTGGGGCACAGCTGGTGCTTAGGGGAGCCGCTGAGGGGACCAG